CCCCCCCCCCCCCGCAATAGCGGCTGGTCAGTAAATGCAGAGCACTTGCCCTCTCCTCCTGTCTCACTTTCAAGTATTTTATTAATTGACGTACTTAAAAATCTACATTTTCAGTTATGTCTCTGTGTAATGCTCAAGAAATACAGCTTATATGTCAGTTTAGATTATCAAGAGAATCAGTTTGTATTATAATTCTTTCATCATTTGAAAATTATGTAAGGAATCGCTTTTGTAATTATAATGTGAACTTCGCTGCATCTGTGAGAGACTACAAAAACAAGTGAAGGAAACAGCTGCCTTCCATTTGCTTATGGTTCATAGGAGAAGATTTTTAAAAAGTAGTTGAGGTACTATTAGATGCTCTTCAAATCTAGGAAAAATGTGTTTTGAAAGGAATTATCAGAAATACATAAGTATTTTTGTGTGTATATATGTCTACGTAGACACACTGCTTTTCCTGTAATTCAGACTGAGACTATTCCTCTGTTAGATACATTCGTGTGAACTGGAAGCTGAATTTTCAGCTCCTGATACCTAACACTTTGTACCTGAGTACTGTTCAAGTGTGACTGTCGTAGCTATTTTCAGTTATTCATTATTATGTAGAATGGTATCTAGTTTTTCATCACCGGAATGAAAATTTTGGACAAGATGGTTTTTAAGCTCCTCCTAGCTTTAAAATTAGATTATTCTTATGTTTGAAGTATTCTGCTGTTCCCCATATTCCAAGGTAGACTTGGCTCCATTTATACTATAGAGACAGGAAAGAAAAAATCCATCCTCGGTGTCACATGCCTTCTCTTGGGAATATGTAAATATGTGTGGGCACTAGTTGTTCTATATTCTTTAACTTTGAAAAATGTTGTGTCTTTATTGGTAAGCCTTGGGCAGTGAGCCCTTTTTGCAAATAGGTATACTATTTCAGCTCACAGAATCTGGCTACTATTTGTTTTGTTAGTCACATAAGAAGCACTGTCTTGTCCAAAACAGATTGTAGAATCCAAATATTTGCTAGCCACACCCCACCCAGTTGTGTTTAAAACTATTTTTATTATAGTTTACTTTTAGCTATTAGAAGTGACTGACTTGTGGCTTTATAAAAGAAACCTATTCCACTTGAAACAGAGCCCTGCTCTCTGAACTCACCTGTTTGATTTATTTTTATTAAATATGAGTGCTTTTTGCACACTTGGCAGTTAGTTGCTTTTTGGTCTGCTGTTTGTACCTCCCAGGGTCATCACTAATTCACCACGTGTTTCTTGAGTACCACCTGAATGTCAGGCATGGGGTAAATATTGGGTGACTCCACATATCCCTTACTCTTACGGTGTTTATACAGTGGTTTTCAGCTTCTTTTCCTGTTCTGCCAGCCTGGGGAGATGACACAATTTGTTCTTTCATTGGTGTTCATTAATGGTTGTAGTTCAGCTCCTCAGGTGCTCATGGAGGACTCCTAAGGTGGAATATGTAGTTTGATGATATCAGTGTCATTGCTGGCTAATATTAGCTATCTAATTTTTTTAATTTTTGTGTTCATATTTCTTTTAACTTTATTTTAGAAAACTTTGGTACTGCCTACAATAGGGTGAATGGTTACAGTGAATTCCTCTGTACTTATCACCCACCCAATTTAGCCTAACCTCAACTGTCTTTCATTTCTTCCATTTATCCCCTCCTCAATTCTGAAACAAATCTCATACATTGTACCAATTCACCTATGAATATTTCAGTATATTTCTCCAGAAGACAATTTAAAACTCTTTTTCTTTAAACAATATCTTTATCGTGTCTAAAAACTAAACCTTGCTTAATAGCAGATGCCTTGGTCTGCATTCACATTTCCCCAATTATCTATGTTAGGTGTGACTCGTGAATACATAGACAGGTATGTACAAACATACACATGGATATACAGTGCATGCATATATAGATTATATGTATACATGTTCCCATGTATTTTTAATGATTTATTTGTTCACATGAAGCTCATGAATTGCCATTGGTTAATATGCCCCCCTTCATACATGTTTCTTATCTATGTCTTTTTCCCCCTTGCACCTTATTTGTTGAAAAATGGGATTGTCCCATGCCGTTTCCTTGTAGTCTGGATATTGTTGTCATTTGCAGACTGGTGAGTGGATCAAGAGTGTTACTCTTATTTAGGTTTGAAATATGTATATTTATGAATACACAAGGATACTACTTTAGAGAGTGATATGGTGAAGTTTTTGAGGAGACCCTTCATTACTGGTTGTCTCTGTGTTACAAGGCATTGTTAATTAACTAGATTCACTATAGCCTATAAAATGGTGATATTCGATTTTTACCCTCCCTTCTTTATTAACTAAGAAAAACAGCCCTTGATCAACTGTTACCTGAAGTATAGTTTATACAAAAGAAAAAGAACAAATATGTTTACCAGCATTAAACAATAAGCTTGTTTCCTTACATCCTTTAGAGATAGCCCAGCGAGGTGTTTATATATGTGTTTGAGAATAATCATAAACTCATGGGTTTTTCATGTCTTTTATGTTTCAATCCTGGCAGTTATTATTCTTCTAATTGGTCATATTTTTCACTATCTTTGATCTGTGAGTATATCTTCTGGGTTCTTCCTGAGTCCTTTTGATATGATCCCAAGAGTCTTTTATAGCTTCTTTCTTTGTAGATTTGTGTACTTTTCCTGGGCCTAGATCTGTAATAAGATACTTTTGCACAGAGTCTTGGTACTTTTAGTAGGAAACAGAGTTTTAAAAACCATAATCTAGGCATTTCAATGCCTGGGATCCAAGGACACACTGCATCAGAGTTGGCCATTACTTGTAGGCTTTTTCAGTAAGCAAAGCTAGTAAATTCATGCATAGAATGTTTACTAAATGCAAAATATGACATACCTTCACATAGATCGATCAAACTCACGGTGTTGTAGCTATAGCTCCCCGGTCCTATCTCAAAAGTCCCAGTTCTCAGTGACATTTGCTTTATTCAAAAGTACTCCCAGTTTCTTAGAATAGCAATGCCAGCAGGCACACAATGAAACAAACTTAACAGCATTAATATATTCATTTTTGCACTCAGTGTTTAAGAATACTTTTAATTTTTTTTTTTTAATTTTGAGTCTGGGTCTTATTAAGTCACTAAATTGCCCAGAGTGTACTCAGACTTTTGGTCCTCCTGCTTCAGCCTCCAGAACGCTGGGATTACAAGTGTGTGCCACCATGCCCTGACTATCTTATATCTTATGTAACAGTTTACTGTGGAAATCATTATATAACAGTGTGTAAAGATGGTCTGTGCTCTATTTTATAGCTTCTTATTATCCCACTGTATGGATGTACAAACTTTTTTTTTAAT